TATGTGTGTGTGTGTGTGTGTGTGTGTGTGTCGTGTGTGTGTGTGTATATATATATATATATATATATATATATCCAAACAATAAATATTGATGTTTATAGTATAGATAAATATATGCACTGAAAAGTCAATAATTATTGGTGTGCAAGTAAACTCAAATACGAACAAATAAGAGCAAGTTGGCGGTACCAATATTGGTATATATGTATATACTGAATATAAACAAATATTGGTATAATATGGTCAAATACTGGTAGTTATAGGCTTAAATATGAACTAACCCCGTTAAATATATACAAAGTTGCATATGAACAAATACAATCCAGTAGGTAACGTATACGCTACAGACCAAACTAGATATTGATTTTAACAATTTATAAAAAGTATACGTTATGCTAACAAGTACAAAATGTATACTCCACAGAACAAGGCAATCGAACGCGACAAGGGCGCGGCCCTCGGATCACGGTGTCGTTTGGTGATTTGCCGTTTGGCGCAGGAGAACGGCGGCGAAACCTCAGTTCACCACCCCCTAGTAGATAGTGCACTATAGTGCTGTGATAGACTAAATAAAGGATAATGCGATCAATAGTTTCATATCTGGTGGCGGTTTAAGACCACATTGATTCCCTGTTGAAGAGTAGATGCCGAATTACATTGCTTTGGTAGAGCATATAGTGCAATACATTGCTGTGGTAGAATAAATATTTATAAAGCATGGAGGATATACATTGTATTGAGTTTCTCTATATACAATAGTAGATAGTGTAGATAGTGCATCCAATTATATACAATAGTAGATAGTGTAGATAGTGCATCCAATACATTGCTATGGTAAAATAAATAATTATAAAGCCTCAAGGATATAAATTGAATTTGAATTTATCTATATAAAATAGTAGATAGTGCATTTAATACATTGCTATGGTATTTAGAATAAATAATCATATAAACTAATATTCAAGTCTTTGTCCTCGTCTTCACCGGATGTCTGGGTTTAAAAATCATTCCTTGGATCCCGTGAGCATACGTCTACACCGGAGCCTTGGCGAAACCCATGCTGGTGAATATACCTGCCGTTTATCTGTGGTACAGGGTAGCAGTCGGGACTGTCCTGGAAATTAATCCGAGGGTCTGTTGTTGTCTATCTCTGTCGTATTTTTAGGTGGCCTAGAACCATGCTGTATTTAACCGTACACCCGTTGTGTTAGGTTGACACCGGCCACGGGGTAAGACCTGCAGGCGCACATCTCTTGGGAGGAATAGAGAGGCGAGCGCGTGCGCACCTATCACCTGCATGCCCCAAGGAAACGAGACTTGGTATCAAAGACAACGGTATCCAAGCCAAGATTATACTGAATTGCGTAGCTCGAGCCGGGCTGCAACATGAGGGTTTTCAGTAGGAGCCGTGAACAGACGGACAACGGCTCATAATTGTGAAGTAAGGGCATCAGCCATGCAAAGGTACGGGGTGCACTTTCATCCGCACCTGTACTACGAATACGCATGCACGAAGTGGGTGTGAATGGCCCAGCGAATAGGGCACTTTCATACGTACCTGTACTAAGAATACGCTTTCACAAAGTGGGTGTGAATAGATCAGCACATAGGGATGACTTAATTCGTTTCACGTTGTGTCACTAACCACTCTCCTATACAAAATGAAACAGCATCAGCAAAAGTCATAGCCTCCACAAAAAAGGGTAAATACATGCGATAGTATCTGCTATCCTAAACATGAGTATTTATAGAAATCTCAACCCTAAACCCTGAGACATGTGTATTT